CCGCTTTTATCTGAATGAAGGTCGTTTTTACACATAAATAATCTCTGGAAATTTTAGCAATTTTTCATATGTTAATTGTGTCAAATCAGCATGAAAAAGAAAAACTGGTTTACACTGATATTGTGCTCATTGAATCTGCTGTAAATTCTATGTTAGACAGGGWTGCTAGATAAGAAACGGCAAACTATCTTGCTGTCACTTGTGATTTGATCAAAACTATGATGTGCAGAGTGAGGGTGCATGTTCTTGAACCGGGGAGGTTTTAAAATGAGGTGTGCTGTGGCTGCAGTGTGGTCATACAACAGCTAGACTTAGCGCATGGCACAATTGTGAGTATACATGGTAGAATTGTTGGAAAGTGCTATTGATGTGTTGAAATATAGTCGTTCCTTGCATGTTTTACATACTTGGAGAAWTAAACAGATTGTGATTCTGACAAACTATTTTAAAGAAAAATAATAATCAGACAACATTGGTGTCAGGTGAATATTAGTGTTTTCTTTTGTCATGCAGTTGTTTTTGTGTTGATTTTCTTGTATTTTTCTATTATTATTGGTTTTGGTCTGAATGTAAGCCTGCCTTCATCTTCCTTTTTAGCCTTGATGAGCAATCCCATCCACACCCAAACAGGATCCTCCTGGGGTRTTACGAGGTCATTACCCTGGCCGGGCTGTGCAGTGCTGGAGGGGCACTCAGGATGGAGCTCAGTGGTGGGCTCCTCACGGCCTGTGGGCCGGAAGAGCAGCATCGTGGCTCGCTGCTGATCTGAATGGGCCCTGAGAGTCCAGTGTGATGGACCGTCAGGGGCCGCGTACACTGGCCCTTTGTATTGGGACTTCTTGGACTCTCTCTCTGTTTTTTTCACACACTCACACGTTCACAAAAAACTTTTTTTTTTCACACAAGGGACTCCCCCGCCCTAATTTTTCTCCTCGTGATCATGATGTGGTAGATCTGCCTCAAAGTCAGACATTGTAAATTTGTCTGCGTTTTTTCTGGTTTCACCGTTTCATTTTACGTTCGTCATTTTTCCTTTGAACCGTGTTCTGTGACGAGCCAGAGCAGAACATGGAGTTCTTGAAGTCCGACCAGATGATTTATTAAGGAACAGGAAAGCCATCAGAAAGCCCAACGTGATTTTTTTTTTCAGTCCAATGGCAAACTCTGTTCATGCCTTTTTAACGTAGGACAGAAAACAAGTTTATTTTTGATATGCACATAACCAAGGTGTCACAAATACAATAAAAATGGAAAAAAATACGATTAAATGATTAAATTTTAACTTGATATTTTCATTTAATTTTGAAGTAACTCTTGAAGTCCGACCAGATGATTTATTAAGGAACAGGAAAGCCATCAGAAAGCCCAACGTGATTTTTTTTTTCAGTCCAATGGCAAACTCTGTTCATGCCTTTTTAACGTAGGACAGAAAACAAGTTTATTTTTGATATGCACATAACCAAGGTGTCACAAATACAATAAAAATGGAAAAAAATACGATTAAATGATTAAATTTTAACTTCATATTTTCATTTAATTTTGAAGTGACTCTTGAATATTGGCAAAACAAGTGTGGAAAAAGGCCTATTTTCTTTTTTATAAATAGTTTTATGTTGTAAAAATTGCTTAGTGCAGTATTTTAGAAATGCTGCTTTGCCAGCATTTTTTGTCTCTGTAAAAACTGTGCATCACAGTTGTGTCATGTGCTTACTAAATCAATAAATCAATTGATAATCACTATGCTGTAGACTTTGTCACGTTAGTTRAACTGAAATAACACCAAGACTGACCCACATGGTTTAACTATTCTCAACATCAGGAGCTCCAGGGGCCTCATTTGTATATAAAAAATGTGTTGATGCATTTGTTTATTAAATTGGGCAGTTGTGTTGARTTTTCTTCATGACATTCATTGAAGAAACACCTACCTTGCATTTCAAAGTTTTAAACAAAGATCTCACACAATCGTTAGCACTTGCAGTCAGATATAAATGCATGTTTTCTCTTACATAAACATTCCCAAAAAGCCCTTCACAGTCAGTGAATTGACTGGACTGCAGCTTTGCGACAGTACTGTCTTCAAGAGCAGCTCTTTCTTTAAACACATATTTACTTTCTGCTGGGCTCAATATCCTGTGGAGCTCTACAATCTGCCACCCATTGTCCTTCCCCGAGAAATGTGGTCCACAGTTCAGGTTAGCAACGCTGCCTGTGGGCACACTCTGACAGAGTTGTGGTCAAAATGTTTCCATGGCAATTTCTATGCACCCACCACGAGGCAGAAATGTGATTTTTTTTTTTTTTTATATCCCAGAACTACATAAACAGATTTGCTGAGGCCTCTGACTCCAAAAGTACTGGCCCAGCAGAAGTATATCTGTTTTAATTTCCTTTATCCTGCCAAAAAGTACAAACAGTAATGAACTTTTAAGACCCTYGCTCCATGAAAAAGTCACAGATTTATGATTTTGAGCAAAGAAATGCTTAGATTTTCTTCCAGTACATCACTTTATTCTCCTACTGTGTGAAAGAAAGGGGGCTGATGTAGTCTATTAATAGTTGGGAATGTGACAGAGTTATTGTTATTATTTTATGTATAACTTTATCAACCTCCTATTAAGACTATTCTTATGTGTTTTKGATTATATTGTATGTCCTGTTGCATGCACCATCTTGCCCAACAAAGGCGTCATATAACTGGAGTACAGCGGCATCATGGTTAACCCAATGAAAAATGCAAAATGATGCCAGAATGATCAACCCTCTCTCATCATGCTTGATAGTTTGAATGATGTGTTGGTGTTGATGCAATGAATGCACTAAACGTGGCTCTGAATATTATGTTCTAATAAGGGTTTGTCCAGAGGCTGTTGTTCCAGAAATCTTTTGATTTTTTCTCTAAAACCAAATTAAAGACATGAAGCTTTSTACTTGTAACCCTGTCAAACAAGCAATCCCAGTTTTCATATCAAAATGTATCATCAAATTTGAGCATTTTTCACACTTTATTAAATTTGACATGTGGAGTCGGGGATGCTCCTGTGACTAACTGGAAATCCGAACATTTCAGTCAGCAGGAAACTGCCAAAACATCTGCTTTTATAAATGTCACCCTTGCTGATGATCAGTTTATCAGAAACGTCTAGTTACACAGGGCTGCTACTTCATTTTTTAATTCCCTAATAGGGCATAAAGAATAACTTTTTCACATACTGGCTTGGTTTTTGTTAAGGRATTTGTGTAGTATCCTGTGTGCTATTGCTTGTCTGAATGCATTCATTTCATGTTAAAATCAGTTAAAGACAGCGTAGTTGCTTTATCATATTTTGTCCTGATATACTTTTAATCTTGACCTGAATCATAAGATTCATGCAGACTCTCCTTGCAGTTTGAGAATCAGTTTGCATCAGGCTTAAAGGTTATAAAAAAATRTTGAGTTTAGTGACACTTGCCTGTGATTTCTATCTTTAAACATGGTCATTTAACCATTCAAAAACATACAAATGTTGTTCACAGCAGCTTTAAATTCTTCAGCTGTGGTGTGACCCAAAGCAATGGTGCGAAAACACAAACAGGCAGTGTGACCTGGTTGTTCTTTGACTCTGCAGCATCCTGGCTGACACATGTGGACCTGATTGGAGGCACGGTGTGGCTCGTTAGCTTGTGCCCACAGACGGGACATTGTGGCGAACGGCTCCACCTCAGAAAACACACAAACACATTGGATGAGACAAACTCATCTGGGTCACTTCACTCCCCTCATGGTTAGCTGCCATTGATTTCCATTGCAGCTTGGCAAACACCCACTGCTCTGACCTGCTGGACAGCCATTAGTGCCCTTTAAGTGGAGTGATGATTGTCAGATGAAACATAAAGGCAAAGTGAGATGTAAAACCTCAAAGGAACACAGCAAGTGGTTTCCCCTGGTTCTGAGCATTGCAGACAGTTGGAGTCATGCTTGATAGAGTGTACTTCTTTTACAGAGAAATTTAGATTGAAACACTGGTTCTTTATTTGTTGGGCRACGTCAGTGTCAGTTCACTTCTGATTTTCTTTATTTAAAATRAGGTACAAAAMTTCTAGCCTGGTTAAAACCAGCCCAWAGGAAAACTRGAATTGRGCGGAACTGCGAGGAAGGCAAGGGCCAGGCTACAGAACTTCTAAACCACCACTAGTTTTTTAAAACTTAAATTTCAAGGAGCAAGACTTGCTGGAATTTTTTAGATTGTTTGATTAGTAGTTCCTTAGGGTTTCTGAAAATMTTTCAAAGTTTTTCTTTGGACTTTGGCTACCTTTTCTCTTAGTTTCTGTTCAGTCGTAGTGCCTGACCATTATAACACACTGTACATTATGTGCTTAAAAATGAAGAAATAGAATAAGCACAGGACAGAAATGTTAGACCTAAAAGACTATCAACAACAGATAAACTGTATCTGCAAAGTATTTCTTCAGTAAATAATTTAAAAAAATCCAGTCCTAAAAAGGACCTGAGAGATACACCAGACTCTGTACCAGCAGGTTTGAAAAAAAAAGTTTATATCTATGACTGGATTTTCAAACTCAGCTTATCTGAGCCAAATTATTATTTTGAATATTGAATTGTGCCATCTTTTTTTATTTCATTTTTTATTTTTTATTTTTTTTAGATTTAGTTAACTAAATTAGAAAACAAATTGGCCTTTGGTAATAGTTTACTTATTCATCCCTGTTTAAGAACCTTTTTATACCTAAATTACTCAACCAACCAACACAAATATAAACAATACATTCCTCAGAAAAGTAAAAAATAAAACAAATAAATAAAAATAACTGCTGACTTTTCAAAAACCCTGAAAAAATACGGAACAGAAACACTCAAACATTTCAAGAAAGTTTGATTCACTGAAATTAAATTTAACAAAGTGAGAAATGACTGGATTTTTGCAGTWCTGTACAATTATATTCTCTAGCTGCAATTCCTGTAATACTTTTTTCTTGTCCTTGTTTTCTGTTTTGAACAGGTTGCTTTGAGTGCTGCATCAAATGTTTAGGCGGCGTGCCCTATGCATCGCTGGTTGCTACAATCCTCTGCTTCTCCGGCGTCGCCCTGTTCTGTGGGTGTGGCCACGTGGCTCTCACTGGCACCGTCACCGTCCTGGAGAAGTACTTTTCCAAGATCACAACKGACCACGCCATGCTCACTGATGTGTAAGTGATGTACCATGATTCAGTATCGATAAGTCTTGCAATAAAAAATGGTGATGTGACTTTTTATTAAAAAGAAAAAAAAAATTGTATAGGTCTTCTGGACGGGTTC